GCTCCGAGGGCTGGTTTGCAGCGGCGCCTCTGTAGCGCCGGGGGAGAAACCTGGCGTTTCTTCCTTGTGCCAAGCGCCCGGCGCGGGTGGCCCCGCGGCCGGGGTGCTGCCGGGGTGCTGCCGAGCCTCGTCCCGCTTGTGCACGCCTTAGAGAGGAGCCGGGCAGCGGGATCCGAGGAAGGAAACGGGTGCTGAGGGGGAAAACCTTTCCCAAGACCTCTAATACTAAGACTAATGCCTGAAGGGGACACAGAAGCCAGGTCGCCTGACGCACACCCAACTGAAAGAGTGGTTATATGACTGCCGTTGATGCCTGATGGTGGGGAAATGAGGCCCCATAATATAAGAGAAAGGGAACAGTCTTATTTCTGTCTTCCAGCTCCTGGCGGCTTGGCGCCACCCTGGCTCTGGTGCTGGACAGACCCTTTCACGAGCTCACGTAAATTTGGCTTGCGGAAAGGTTCAGCAAGTGCTGGGTGCTGGCGCAGGAAGCAAGCGATGAAGCGAAGCGCGGGGTGAGGGAGGCAGCACAGGGCGGTTTGGGACTTCCGCCTTTCGGCATCGAGGAGCTGATAAATCCATTCGCCGCATCTTGCGGAAATACTTGTTTCCTTTACTGCGGCAGCTGTGATGGGCGAGTGGTGTGGAACTGGAGAGAGGTGATCCCTCAGGGTCCCGTCCAGACCTGTTGTGTCCTTGCCCTCCAAGGAGGGACTTGCCTTCCTGCCAGTGGTCTGCCCAGCCTGTTGTTAGACTGCATCTCCTCAGGCACTTCATTCTTGTACTTCGTTTTCCACAATCTCTGTTTCTGCAACAGGAGCCCGTTGCTACCTGTCCTGTCTGGAACGGACCATCCAGAGAGCTTATTCTTGCTCACTTACAGGTTTAAAGACCTGAACGGTCCTAATTTTGTTGGTGTTCCCTCACTGGTCACTCTGCTCACCTCAGCTTCTGGTTATTCTCTTATCTTTGTGTGCACCATCTGGAAAAAGGTCAGATCTTTCTTGAAGCATGAAATCCCAGGCTAGGTTTGCTCCTGCAGCTGCGTTTTTTTTCTCAGTGGGCTGGAAGGATTTCTGTGCGTGCCCCGCGCTGTGCTCCTGTGCACGCTCCTCTGCACCTCATCCAACAGCTGTAGATGGTCCCGGGTGAAAACAGTAACAACACTGGCTAATATTCCTGTTAAAGAAAGGGATCTCCTTGGCTGCTTCTTCATATGTATTTTGGAAGCAAGTGAAACAAGTTTTAGACCATCTCAATCTCTGTTCCATAGTGTGGAAATAACAGAAGTGTTGTTGGTAGGCACTGTTTGGCCGTGGCTGTTCACGGCACCTGAACTGCTTTTTTGCTGAGACCCATGGTGAATGGGGTGGTTTTCGCATGACCAAACTTTGAAGCATTTCAACAACTGCTGTTACTGTCTTGTGTAGTAGTATCTAGTAGTAATGTTACGTTGGTACTGATGCGTCACTTAAGAGTCTGGAAATAAACTAAAGTCCGTGGTGCTGTTGGAGTCTAAGCAAAAGCCCTAAAGCAGATGCAGTCGTTATGCCAAAATTATGGAATACCCTGAGGAAATGTATTCTGCTGACTCAAGCATTATTTTTTGATGCAAGACTTATCTATGCCAAATATGGCATATTGCTGGAGTTATACCAGCAGACTCTTACTGCGGATGACCTTTCTCTAGGCTAAGATAACTGACATAAACTGTGTTTCAGTAATGTTTCAGCAATTGAACTTTTTTTAAAGGAAGAACGATCCTTGCTTTCACAGGTAGATGAATCTCAACCCTTGATGGGTGAGGTTGCTTGTTTAATATGATTTCTTCCAATGTATACACAAAAAAGGGGATAGACGTTCTTCTTTCTCTGTCAAGCCAACTTCCTCAAACGTTTTATAGGGAATGTTAATCAAGCTAGAAAAAGAAGAAAAAAATTTGACCTCTCTTTAAATGTTCTCCAGACTAAGTTAATCGTGCCTTCAGACATGGAGGAGATGTGCTCGAGGAAGGATGAACTATATACTATGAGTCCTGAAAAATACTGGTGCTGTATCCCTCCTTTTTCCCTAAAAAAAAATACTATCTGCTATTTAGATATATATAAATTTGGTGTCCCATGGTTTTTTAGTATGAGGTACTTATGTCCTGCACATCTTTGCCTTTCTTTGTTTCTCTAGATCTGCTTTCCTAGAACTCCCTGAGAATTTTGGTGTTGTCTTTGTGAGTTGTAAAAGTGCAGTTATCATACTAGATGTCTGTGGCTGAGACCAAAGTGATGTTGTGAGTTAATGACTTGGCTATCCGTTTTCCCCATTCTTAATGCCAGCAAATTTTCCTGGTGAGAAGTAGATGAGTTGGGTTTTTTTGTTTTTGGATCAAACCGTGCTAAACATCCACTTGATGATGGCTGCCTGAATAAATGCATTCAGACTCCTCAGAATAAATTCCTGTTGTTAAAGGATACAGTGGCAATCTGCCAGACTCCAGTGTACTTCAGTTCTGCTGATTTTGCACTTGAAAATTATTAAAAATAATTTTAATTAACATTACTATGCAACTTGCATCCTTGCCAAGTAGACCCTGGGAGCTTGCTCTCAAGATACTTGGCCATTTATAAACTTTAGTTCTGCAACTGGTTTGTGTCAGGCAATATCCAAACTTATGTTAAAGAGAATTGCAATTTTTAGGTTTCTCTGCTGTAATATATTTCTTTTTCTAATCTTTCTTTGATAGACTCTCTTTCAGAGTGCAGTGAGGGTATAGTCTAGTTTTGGCCCCCACAATAGGGGTTTGCTTTTGATTACATGAAAACATCTGCTTAAATTGACAGGAAACAGGATTTTACATTTGGCTTTTCTTCTGTAGTTATTCTCATGAGAATAAAGTTGAGATCATGGTTAAGAAAAGCAGCTGTTGCGGAAAATCTTTATTACAATGAATGTTTTTTCCAGAATTAAACACATGTAATTTAAATATTTAACATTTAGGTTTTAGGTGGCGATGTGTTGTAGCTGGGTCGTTTGTGAAGATGTGTTTTTCAGCCACAACTGATAATTATTAAAGTCAAGAAACAGCCCAAAGCTAATGTTGTAGGCCTGGCAAATCTTGAGTGCTTTCTTTAATACCATTCAGCACCAAGAAATTATTTCATGTGATAAATTCAGTAAGATGTGCTACAAGTAGAATATCAGATATTTATTTTATACCCAGGCCTCTAACTCCGAGAGTTTACAGAAAATAAAAAAGCTATATTTAAAATAACGGCTTAGGCCGGTCTTACGACTTTTGGGGCAAGGGAAAGAAGCAGAGGCTTCAGCAGGGGGCTCTTCTCGCTCGTGCTCTCCCCTTGTCCC